AAGAAGACTTCTAATCTTCATATAAAAATATAGGATGCCATAATATTCAAACCTAAAAATAGTCCTGGTACAATTAGTTATCCAACCTGATACCTGTCTGATAAGGACAGCTCAACTTTCATGCTGTTCTCATGCCTGCACTGAGCATGCAGCAACTGCTTAAACTAAAACTACATCCTGGCATCCTGATATTAAAATTTACACATTGGTGGTTTGTCTTTGGAGAGATGAAAGAGCCATATCTGCATATGATGCAGAGCACAATTTGGTTGTATATACTTGCAATTACCTGACCAAGTTGTGGGAGCTGCACGTGCAGCTTACAGCCAAGTGTTCAGTGAAATTAAAGGACTGCGGAAAAAAGTAAGTGCGTATACACCAAAATACCTATAACTGCAACCTACTATATTGGATAATTACTGTTACTACACTTTCACATGCAATTAATATGATTACATCTCCAAACTGCTAAGCCAAACCTCTAAATGCTGACATCTAATTGTTGCACACCACTTTAGAACAATGGTCAGTGAATGTGCATGAAATTACTCAGGGCTCCTGCGCCTCCTCACTTGAAAAATGGTCTTTAATCACCACAACACCAATATCACAGATTTGACTGTAATTCTGTGGAACGACTACATAGCATTCAAACAAGCCACAACCTTTCTTTTCTCAAGGAATTTTGCAGAGACTTTTTTCTACAGCACAGGCAAGAACAGATACCTAGAGAACAACAAGTAAGCTTAGGGGGTGCAGAGTGCCAACATTATGCCTCAGTACCCAAAGGCTCTACTGTCAGCCACAAATTCATGTCAACCTTGGTATGCTAGCAAAATTATATGTCACCAGACAGATGCTTTAACATTTATCAGACTGGTCATCAAAGTAAATCACCGCCTGTTTTAGTTCTGTCACATAAAACTGAAATATTTACAAGATCACGTATAACATGTAAACATTTCTGCATAAATTGCACTGTTAAAAGAGGTTGCGGGGAGGCAAAGGATTAATTGAATGTTGAAGTCTGGAGACTGAAAATGCTTATGGCTTATGATCTCAGCAGAGACTTACAACAGAACTATTTGCCCTGTTCTCTTTGAAGTTTATCTTACTCCATCAGTAACTTTTAGTCAAGTTCCATTAGCTTCAGACAATTTTCCACTTTGTTTCTCATTTGATCAGTAGTTCTTTAATGACGTTGGCAGCAGTATGTTTTCATCCATTCCCTGTAGTTCTCCCTGCTGCTTTAAAAATTGGTCCATATAATGGGGCTTTATAAAGAAAGTTAGCACACATCCATATAACTACATTATCTATTAATATTCATGATTTCCACAGTACTTCTTCAAGCAGGATTCTGTATTTTGCAACATCACACCTGCCTAGTAAAATGGCAGATAAGACAGGACACAATACAGCCTGTGCATATTTATAATTGAGTAACTCCAGATCATTAGCTGAGTGCTGGTAGAAAACAGTTTGCTCTTTCTCTGTATGGTGCCTCTTCATTTTGAGGCTCAATCTAGGAAAAGTAAGTCTATCAAAATCCTATGATACGCATGAGTATCTTATCTGTACCCTACTAACATTTAATATGGAATCTAGGCACTCTAATTAAATAGCTATAACTCTTGGAACTCATCACCTCATCTTGCAAGATCTGGAGCAAACCACAGTAAAAAGCTATGAGGTTTCGTTCTCTCCACAGTTCTGGTACTTAATACTGCAATGGGACTTTGGGACTCACAGGTGTAACAGGAACTGACCAGGAAAAAACTGACCAGAACTGCTTCCTGTGCCCCCAAATCAAACCTACTGGATTGAATAAAACAGTTAAGCTGTAGTGATGTGGGACAGCTAAGTTAACATTGCAGATACAACTCCTTTTGTGAGAATCACTAGAGGTACAAAATAACAGGTTCTAGACACTACATTATTTAAATAGGCAAATACCTGGAGCATTTTTATTAATGTTTTTACTTCTGAGCACAAAACCAATAGCAAGATGTTTTTCCTGGTAACTTACAGTTTTTCTTGTGAGAAAAAGAGAACTTGACGTGCTGTAACTTTCATGATACCCTCTTTACGAATCCATAGAAGCAAAAATAAAGACAATTTTCTACACAAGGCAAACAAAATAAAGATTGAGTCCCTTTGTTTCCGGGGAAACTACTTTCCCTATAGCTTGGAGGAGGGCTGGGGGGAGGGGAAGATTTCTAAGAATACGAAAAAGATAAAAGGAAACCTTTCCTTTAACATGGTCACATGCTAGTCTTCAAAAAAGGACAAAAATACTCTTAGTTGTTTTGCAAATCCATAGCATCAAATACTTAAGAGATTCTTTTACATTACTAGGGAACACATGGAAGCTTCTGTTAGCAAGCAACCTCAGGGCTGTGAATAAACCCATAGAATTTAGTTGTTTGCTTTTTAAAACATTGTTTATTGAGAATACTTACTGAGAACTGCAGCTTCAACAGCAAATATTTAACAAGGAGCACAAACTCCCTCAGGTAACCTTTTTCTAAAGCACAACTGTCCCATCTAGCTTATGGAAAACTCATTCTGATGACTGAAAGATGCGAGATTTAGCCTTCCTTTATTTATCAAAGTGATTAAAGTTACTGAAGCAAAGGAATCTGCACCCCTCCTGTCTCAGCGCATGTTCAACAGGAGCTAGTTTCCATAGGATTTGGGAACTGCAGCCTTTTCTCCACTGCTGCCAAGAAATTCCTTCTATAGCTTATGGAAAAATAATTAATTTCAGTACAATTCACACTGAAGAAAAAAAACAACACATTAATATCACACAACCACGTTTGAGTGTTAACTGGGTACCATACCCCAGAAAGTAGAAGAGTTTATGTTTATTTTGCACTGGGTAAGTGATGCTCACATGGAACATGAGACAGTAATAAAGAGACCCATGGGGCAAAAGCAACAGTTCCTACACAGTCACATCTGAACACTCAGAAAAAAGCTAATGGGAGTAAAGTGGACTTAATTGGTGAAGCCCACGCAGATTTGAGAATACCAAATCCCAGAGTTACTTGTTAGAAGGTACTAAGTTAGGGCCTTCCACCAAATTCATGCAGAAAATATTTCTCACTCCAAATTTTGTTTTTAAAAATATCTTCCCACTACTGCTCCATTCACCCTTACGCACTGCAGTAGGCCCTCATTCTCCTTTCCTTGGTGCTAAAACCATTCAGCTGCCTGAATGCAGTTGTATAGAGACTCAGCCCATAAGAACTAGGTCAATGATTTAAGGAACTTGTTGTTATTTAGGACAGCAGAGGAACATTCAATACATGCCTTCAAGTTAAGTCTATGTGTGAACGCTGCTCTAAACCAAGGCCTAGAGATAGGAAAGATCCCATCCCTCAGTGCTTTATTCAAACATAATTACCAAAACAGAAACTCCACAGGGGAGTAAAGCCACGCTATCAGAACCAGCCCCCAAGATAATTCTACCGCCAATCTCCGGCGGGTAGCTACTAACAAAGTGGCTGTGAAGGGCTCTGGCTGCAGCAAGCCATCCTGAGAAGGCAGCCAAGCATACTCCATCAGTATCTTCTACTGCCATTACCTAAGGCACATTACTCACCGCTGCTCCCACGAAAACTGCCAAGTTAACAAATATAAATAAATAAAAGACTGTTATGTTCTGTTTCAATATATGAGAATCCCATTAGTTAATATTGCAAATGTATTTAGCTGCAGGAACTGAAGCTAAAAAACACATGCAGCATGAATCTGCATTCCAGCCTGCAGCTCACAAAATCGCAAATTCAGTACTTAGGACAGAGGAATTTTCTGAGTTTTATTATGATTATTATTTTGTTTTGTCTATAGGGTGGGGCATTTTGCAACTCACAGCTATTTTAGGAATCTCCTTACAGTGAGACAGAATCCTCGTTTTAAATGAAGATAACTGACACTTTAATTGGAAGCTTTCTGAAATTACAGACTTTGTCTTCAACTATTTGAGAGAGAAAAGGAGGATTTAAGCAGAGACTAGTTCTTAAAGCAACCGCTTCCCTTTCATTTATCTTTTCGCTAGACAGTTTGCCACTTGGGTGACTCTGAACAACGCTGAAGACAAACCGAATTTAAACAATAAACAAAAAAAAATTTCCTGGAAAGATGAGTCAGAAAGGGTCCAGGGTCTAAGCCATTTAGATGAAATCAGGGTTTAGTACTTATCTAGCAAAACACCAGAAAGAATTTCTGCCCTGACCAATCTTTTGGAAATCTCTGCAGAGACTTCCCTTGCTTTGATTCCTGATCTCTGTGTGATCATAGAGTTTATTCTTCTTCTTTTTGATGGCATATCTGTTATCTAGTAACTTTTACTGCGGGCTCTTCGAGTTATTTGCAGGACTGTGGTGGTATGCTGATGAATTCCACATCTAGAGCCTACGTAGGGAAAAGGAAACATCCTGATGGAGTTTTACTTCTGAACCACTCCGTTCGGAGGGCGGGTATAATTGTCTCCACATGCACAGACGCACCCGGCCCAATCCCTTATTTGTGTTTACCCGTAAAGCAAAATATATTTATATATATAGCATTTATTTACAAATAACAGCCAACGGGCAAGGATAGAGCTCGCGGCTGGGTGGAACAGCAACTTCCGAACAACAACAAAAGGGGGGAGGCACTCAGCGAGGCGCACTCGCTCCCGGAGCGGTCCCTGTCACCTCGCGGGGCACCCGCGTGCTTCCCCGGGGCTGCAGGGGCGACACAGCCGGTCCTCCGCCGCCCCGGCTGGTTTTTTTTTTCCTCGCCGGAGGCCCAAACGCCGCCGTTGGCGGCCCCCTCACGCAGCGGGGGCATCCCCCGCCCTCTGCGGCTCGAAGAGCAGAAATTTCCCCGGCCGGAGCGGGCCTGCCCCCCTCACGCGTCGCCCCGCCGCAGGGACGCGGCACGCAGCCCCCGGCCCGCCCCGGGAGGAGCCGAGCCCCTGAGGGGGGCTTTGTCCCCCCGCTGCTCACCGACTGCAGGAACCGGAGGGTCCCCACGTAGTCCCGCTCGGTGCTGAGGATCTCGTTGAGGACACAGAGACGGAGGCGCAGCTGGCGGTCGGTGTCTTTGGGGCAGCCGGCGGGCTCCGCCGCGCCGGGATGAGGAGGAGGAGGAGGAGGAAGAGGAGGAGGAGAAGGAGAAGGCGGCTCCATGGTGGTGGTGGTGGCGGCGGGGCGAGACGTTCCGCTTCCCCGCTGCTCGCCTCAAGAGCCCCCCATAGCCCCGCGGTGTCCGGAGAGCCCCGGGAACGGCACCCCCTTGGCCGCCCCCCTCAGCCCTGCCTCACCCGCGGGCGGAGGCGCTACAGGAGCCGGGTGCTGAGGGGAGCCCGGCTGCGGGACATGCCGGGGGAACAGCGGCGCGGCGGGCGCTCGGCGGCCGAGGCGGCGCTGAATGAGGAGAGGAAGGGAAGCCCCGGCGGCGGGGGGGTGCGGGGGAGCGGGAGGCGGGCGAGGAAGGCGGGACGGGGCGGGAGGAGGCGGCGGAGCCCGGCCCCTGGAGGCCCGGACCGGGCAGCGGCCGGCCGGGGGCGGCTGAGGGGAGAGCGGCGGGGGGCGAGGGCGGGAGGTATGGGGCGGCCCTGACGGGTAGCGCGCACGGCGGGAACGCGGCCTCACCGCGCTCCCTCAGTCCGCTCCGCCCTCAGGTCGCTCACACCCGAACTCCCTCACACACCACATGCCCTGTGCTCCCTCAGACCACTCACCCCTCAGACACGACTCACCCCTCAGTTCACTCACTCCTTACACAGATACCCGTCACAGCCGGGCTCTCTCACAGACCAAATGCTCCGCACTCCTTCATTCCACTCACCCCTCACACACCACATGCCCTGTGCTCCCTACATCCACTCATCCCTCGGTCCACTTACAGCCGAGCTCCCTCACATGCAAAGTGCCCCGCGCTCCCGCAGTCCACTCACCCCTCACAGCCACACTCCCTCACACACCACACGACCCGCTCTCCCTCAGTCCGTTTGCCCCTCACACCCAACACACGGCCCCCACAAACACCACATTCACACAACATACGCAGACACTGAACTCAGGCACCCCACACCGCAGTAACACAACACACAGCCATGTGCCCCATTTCCACGCACAGCCACACACAGCAGATACCCACACACAGACCTCACAGCCCATGGCCTGCTGCGAGCAGACGTACACCAGGACAGGCACACTCACACACAAACTCACATATACTCACAGAAACAGGCACAAATGCACGCGCCTCTGAAAGTGGAGATGTACACACAGCTTCACTGGGGCAGAAATTCACCACAGGCACTTGCACGCACAGAGAAATGCACCCAAATCTCCATACCTCCCTCTTCTGAGATGTACTGAGGGGCAGGCACACAAACACAGTGGTCTGGCACATACATGTAGAAATGCATTCAGAAATGCATACACAGAAAGTACACAAATATGTAGAAGTAAGGGGTCACACACTTCTACACCAATGAAGAACATATGCAAGAAATGTCAGTGTTTCTCTGATGTGAATCAGAAATATTATGGTTTTAGTTGGCTATAACTGCTCATGCAAAGTGGGTGCGAAGCACGAGGGCAGAGGTGAACTGAGTAAATTTCACAGAACAGTAAACGGAGCCCTGTAAATCACTGCTGGTCCCACTGATTTCCAGAAAGCTAACGTGATTCATACCAGTGGAGATTCACTCAAATATCTTCAATGCACCATAGAAAAGCTGCCAGGCTTTCTTCATGGTACTAATAAATATTTATTTCCTTTGAATTAAGAAGAAAAATGTTTCAAGAGAAAATTTAAAAAATGTTAATAATGTGAACTTTTAAGTGGCACAACTGCAGGGACAGATCTCATCTATTACCTTAAACATGAACATAAGTAATGTAATGAAACATCATCTTCCTCAGGCTAACACAAAATACCTCTTTTGGTATTTCAACTTAACAGTGACGTTTTTCTGTCTTGGTGGGTCTCTTTTATCCTAAGCATTAAGTTTTCTATTTAGGAGAAAATGACGGCAGTCCAACACACAATTGTCATCTTTAATTCTGATTTGAGCTTCATGGATATCATATTACGTAACGTGAAAAAATAGCTCTTCAGTCAAGGTATAGTGGCAGCAGGCTGTATGTCTGCTTCATAAAGAAATATTGAAGATGTTTTTAGACCTAGATGTGAAAATTTTCTGAATCAAGTAATATTGATATGTTAGCTTGTCAGATCTCATTACGATGTAGCTTTGGGTCAAGGTACACAAGTCACACCTTTGCAAACATGATTCTCATGATACGTTGCAATATCACTCAATTTCTGAAGCCTTATCAATGAGAAATGTTGTCTTCACTCCAAGTCAGTCAGAAACCCGATTGCTCGGAATGGGAAGAAAAATGTGGGAAAGCTCATGCATCCATAATTGCAGAAAATCAGAGGGAAAAGCACTGGGGGAAAGGGAATAGCAGGAGATAATTCTGGGTTTTGCACAGATCTGAGCTGCATGGAGGGGCGCTACAGGAAATGGAAGAGCGCCACAGACAAGGCCTTAGACAAGGACAAAGAAGCAAGACTACAGAACAGGTAAGATTAAACTCTAAATTTGCTGTTTTTCCTTCAAGTTAATTATTACCATTTGTTTTCTTCTGCGAGTTACTACATTTTCATTTATTTAGTTAGTGTGTTTCTAGTTGCTGTCTTTTTAAAAATCAAATGATATTTCTGTGTGGGACAAGTGACAAGACTCTCATTTAAAACATCCTGATGGTTTAAATAACAACATTCTCTGTTTGGAAAAATCAGCATCCCCAAAGCTACGCCCCCGCCCTGTGGCTGAATGAGAAAGCTGACAGTTTGAAAGTTTTGATTTGTTAACTCCAGATCCTGTTTTTGCCTCAGAAGTACCATAATAGTTTCATTTCCTCAGCAAATGCTGAGACAGGAGACCATCACAGGGAATCAGTGGGACGCTCTCTGAGCAATGCTTGAACTAGTGTGTAGCGTGCATACCTTTTTGTTTACGTTGTGTGTGAGATACGTTCACAATTTCTAACTTTATTGTTAATATTAAAAGCATTATTATGTAAGGTATTTTAAAAGGATGCTACTTCTGACTGGAAATATTAAAATATTAAGAAAGAAGCTTACATTAAAATTAAAGAGAGAATCTTCACTCTTTTTTTGAAATGGTTTTCTTTTAGCTGTAGAAAATATTTTTGATACTGTAGAAAAATATTTTTGGTGCTGTAAAGAGTTTTGTTTTGTTAGTTACTGTTTATTTTATTTCTTTCCAAATTATCTCAAATATACACAGAGAGTCCTTACTTCAGACTGGATGATTTGTTAGTTGCTAGCATGGCTTTTAATTTTAAAGACAAAAATCTGTAATTTGCCAGCCAGCTCTTTTATTTTTAAAGGGATGTTGTATATTAACTGAACATAGCTTAAGCTGAATTTTTGCCTCCTAGCTTGTTGTTTTTTTTTTCTCTTTTTTTTTTTTTAATTATTTTAAAAAAGGAAGTAGTTTACAACTACTGTTCAGTTTTGAAGAGAAATTTTGCTGCCAATATTTTTTCAAGTGAGCACTTCAAAAGCAAACAAAAAAAATGCTGCTACTTTGTAAAACAATCAGGGAGTCAATTATCAGGAGAGTGACATATCAATTACCATGAAATTCACCATCTTTCATGACGATGTAATTAATTTACATGTGCTTGTTAGTTGTTTGGAGCTTTTATGTTTGTACATTGTCTACCACAGTAAAACCAAGGTGTTAAGGCCTCTACATGGTATTACAATACCAAAAAAATAATTATCAACTATGTGTGTGTCTCCGTACTGGTTGTGTTCCTTATTATAGGAGAAAATATTATTCACTCTTGGCCTTGTGAAGGCCATGCTGAAGGTTCTGGGAAGGCTGCTGTAGAATAAGACTTAGAAATCCAGAGTGATTGTAGAATTTGTTAATTTAAACTGAGATTAGACTCTTAGCAGGGAAGAATCCAGTAATGTACCTACCTGCCTATTCCCAACTGTTTTGTTTTTTTGTTTGTTTCCTTCTTCTTCTCCTTTAACCATTATTATTCCATTCTGAAAGGCATATCTCTCTATTAGTCTTCCCAAAAGTGTATTTGAAATTTGCTGGAGTTAATAGGTTTTTGCTAACATTAGGAAATTTTGAATCCAATTCCCATTTCCGACTTAACAAAGAACTTAACTTATGCTTAGTTTCAAAGTGGCTTGATGACAAAGGCAGCTGTTCAGTGCATTACACATTCTGCATTGTATATGTGTACACATTGTATATATGATCTATATGAATCGATCCTATTAAATAATTTATTTATTTATTGTGGTGCTGAATAAACTCCAGTCTCACATGCTTTGATTTATGAAGACGTTTATACTGCTTTTGAGTAGAATTTGGTACGCCACACTTTCATACTTCATTAAGCCTTTCTGTGGTGAACAGTGTCTGGATGACAAAGAGTCTAGGGTACAATGTACATCTAAGGGACAATATATGTGAATCATTACTTTCCTGTATGGATCTCCACTGGGTCTTTTTGTGTGTGTTCTTATTGTTGTGATAAAGGAGGTGCTGGATTATAGGTTCCTGTATGCTGCTGTACAAGTTGGTTGTATGGACCTCTTGGTGAAAATGGGTCTCAAACAGTCCACATATGGCAAGCTAACTTTAAGAGAAGCTTAAAGCTGGAAGTGAGCTTTGTGTGGAACTGTGTATTAGCTGGTATGGACTAAATAAAGGCAGGCATCACAGAGCTGTTAGCTCACATGAGTGCAGTTATACTGTTTCCAGATCTGTTACATGATGTCTGTCTACAGGGCACCCTAAATTTACCAGCCCAGTTCAGCATTAACTCACCCACAGCCCATTTCACTGAGTGGTATAGAAATACCGAAGGTGTACACGTGAAATCCATAGGTCAGTAGAAGTTTGGTTCCCCCAAACAATTTCAGCACTCAGGCGCTGTATATGACATACCTGGCTTAAGGTAGTGTGAGGATTTGTGAGGATTTATGGTTTAGCGAAGGACTTGTTAGTGTTAGGTCAGAGGTTGGACTAGGTGATCTTGAAGGCGTCTTCCAACCTAGACGATTCTGTGATTCTGTGATTTCCTGAGCCTAGAGGTTGTGCCTGGACCATTGCTTTTAATAGTCACTCGTGGACCTATTCCATGATGAATTCTGCTAAAGCCTTTCACACACATTTAAACTATTGGCTTTTCCAGGACTCTTTAGTTAGCGATTTCCAGTATTCAATCGGCTCCACGTTTCATGATGTGCTCTATAAAAATAATTTAAAAATCCCTTTTGCTTCAGACTTGGCAATTTGCCTGTGTACACCTTAACTTTAGTATTGTGAGAAATAGAGCTTGACCACTGGTCCCTTCTCCTTCTACTCTCCATTTAAGATTTTGTAGACCTTTAGGA